ATCCGTTACCCTAACAGGGGTCTGTTCTGGAATGGCAATGCTTTTTTTTGCTGTAAAACAATAACTTCATTACTATCCTACCTTTTTTTATTAATCATAAAGACATTAAAGTACTTTGTGCATTTACTGTATAGTATAGCTTAATTTAGAGACTTGCCTTCAGTGACAAACTCCAATAAGCACGGCTCTTTGAGTTTTACATATTTACTAGTGTCCCTATATCGTGTTCTTGCTTTTACTGTCCAACCTGTAACAGGCAAGCAAACTTGAATGACATTTTATACAAACAAAAATGACACACAAAAATACAAATACATAACAAACAAATTCAAAAAGAAAACTAATAAGATTTTAATTTGTCACAAAATGCTTGGCAACATTCCAGTGTGGGCACAGGCGTCGGCTTATGTTTTTGCCAGTGAGGATAAGTTATGTGCTTATCCTCCATAGAAAAAAAGCAAACTAACAGACTCAATATAATAAGGTCACTTTGTGTTTTACTATAGATTCTGTTTAATACCAACACACATATTACAGTAAGAACTACCACATGCCTATGTCAATTGTCAAAACAACTCAAACTTTATATTCACACATAAGCACTAAATACTGTTACAGATTTACAATACCACACATATAAAGCTAGAACTAAGTTGTACAGAAAGAATCTCAGAGAGAAACAAACCGGTTTACCTGGTCTTGAGTTGCTATCTGTTGGCTGATGCAGCGCTTCCCTCCCGTACTTAGTGCTCGAGCATGTTTTTGCATTTCTCAAGAAGAAATGTTTTTCGACTTTTTGGAGCGCTGTACAGACTGATCGGCAAATGTTATCAAAGTACCACGAGAATGATGCTATATGTCTATCTCAAGATGTCAAAGGCCGATCAGTAGGCCGCCGTGCGTTTCTGTGGGTGCTCGGCTAAATCCGTTAGCGGGGGCGCCACACAAGAAAATATTACCGGTATTTCAAGAGCAATTCATTCGATTAACGTCTGCTTTCTGGTTTCCATGACATTTCAAAACACCAGAATTAAACCCGTAGTTACGGAATGAAAGATATAAACGGACTTATAAATGTTGGGAACCCTATAAATGATACTTTCGTTTTACTACAATATATATTTTTTACTATCGTTAAACAATGGTTACCACAAATTAACTATAGTTTTTCTACACTAACCAGTTTAACCGTAGTATTAGTAGTAAAACTGTGGTTATACAAAAAAAAAAACATGGCTACTATTTGACTATAATAAAACCATGGTGAGCCTAATTTTCTTAGGAGATTTGTATTTGTGCATACTTTTTTGTTTTGTTTTTATATCAGTACTGCCTTAATGGTTTGATGTTTTGCAGCCTACTGTTACTGTAAAAACAGTTACTGTTAATGCCTACTGTAAAAAAAAGAAAGAAAAATAAATCAGAAAAAAACAAAACAAATTGGCGATACATGCTCCGAAGTCCCGCTCTGAATCAAAAGATTTGCAAACCCTCACCGAAGTCCCGATCTGAGTCAAAGTATTCACGATGCAAGGTCTTACTCAGGGCTGGGCAGAATTACATTGTTTGAATCCAGAATTTGGCAAGTATGCCTCCAGTGGCATATGATATTTATGGTTTTAATTTAATAATCATAATTTGAGGATTACCTAATAATACTTAATGCACTTCAAACATCAGTTGATACAGACCAACTGAGTAGAATTGTTCAGTCTAAATTCATAGTTTGTTATCATGTCACTAGCTTAGTTAAAAATATAGATTCATAGATCTCTCTCTCTACGAATCTTTGTTAGTATGACAAATATTTGTTACATTCATATTTTGCAAGCATTTGCAGTGTTTCTGTGTACAAACAAAATTAAAATCTCAAAGCAACAAAACATAAATTAAGAAAATAACAAACAAACTAATTACAAAAAGTAATTAACAAATATGAAATTTGTCACTACAGATAACTCATATAAGTTTCTTTATTATGTTATCATGTTTTCATTGTGTTTTGTTGTTTTAGTTAGCTGTATTTTTTTATTTACTTAATTAATCAAAATAACCCAACTGCAGTTTGATTGAGATTAATTGAAATGCGCAATGAAAAATATAGTTTTTGAAAATTGTTAAAAACAGAGTTATGTGTTTTTGCAAATGAACTCTTCAAATATAGACGAATATTCATCATTCTAGCCACCAGACGGTCCCAACGTACACCACATTGAAAGGATTGATTCAGGTAATGAACCTTTATATGATCTCGTTCAGAGGCACTGGAAAGCAAAGCTTTGTTTCGCCATCATTAAACAATTAGACCACATATATTTTAATCTCTAAAGATTAAGATTCCAAAATATGTCAGAATATCTATGATATCCGTTCTGTTTTCTTTTAACCTCTAGCAGATCTGATGTCATTGACCAGAAGAACAACAGCAGCTGCTGCAGCCACGCCCATCAGAGCAGTGACGACCAATCGGATCACAGGCTCGATAGTATCACAGCCATGAACTTCTGGGAAAAAAAGTAATTAGTTAATAGTAATAATTATAAAGAGAGAGCGAGAGAGAGAGAACGCAATAATAAAAATTGATTTAGGGACTCAAAAATTGTAAATGATGACAAAAACTCATCCTTTGGCATCTTAAGTTATCAGTCTGTAAAATCAACAAACTGATTCATAAATGTGAATTATATCAGTACTGCTGTACCTGAACATGTGTGACAGAGTTGACTGATGTCCAGATGTTGAGTCTGGTTGCTGATGGGATTGTTGAGCACACAGCTGTAGCTGTTTTTATCCTGATATTCCACCTCCAGAGGTAGAGAGAGACTGATGCTGAGATCAGACACACTGATGCTGGACAATAAACTGTTTCCTTTGTACCAGGAGAGAGTCACATGACCCACATTCACCACTGAACACACCAATGAACAATATGATGATGATGAAGATGAAGAACATTGTGAAGAGTTATTGCTGATGACAGGAACAGGCAGACGAGCTGAGAAATATTAGAAATTTCAGATTAAATCATGCTGTTTCTTGTGTTGAGTGAGATTCTGTGATGTCATTCAGTGAGTGTTTGTGATTTCAGTTTTTTTTTTTTTTTTTATTACATTATCTGAGATGCCAACCTCGGAATAATTAAGCAAAAGAAAACTGTTAAATAGGTTTAAAATTAAAGTAAAAAGTGAATGTGTATCTCAAATGTTATTATTTTTAAGATGGAAAAGGCTTTATATACTTTAAAGCGATAACAAATAAAAGAAACTGATATTTACAGTAACTCACCATAGACAGTGAGACTGAAACTCTTGATCACATTGTTGGTCTGTAGTTGATAGAGTCCAGCATGTTGAGTTGTGGTGTTTATGATGATCAGAGATCCAGTTTGACGATCCACCTTCAGTCTGTCTCTGAATCTCCCGTCAGGAACATCATCATATACAGTCATGCTGCTGACCATTACATTGATTTGAGCTATTAAGGTGTTTTCAGATCCAAACCTCCACAGAATCAGATCATCACCCATTATTTCAGTAACACCAGAGTTTAGAGTGACTGAATCTCCCTCCAGCACTGACTTCACTGCATCTGTATCAGCAAACACACATGAAGAAGTTTTGTCACAGATTAAATCTTTAAAATCACTTGATGCCTTACATCTTTTACAGCCTTACAGATTTTTTACATGGTAGAACAGAAGCAACTGAAGTCATAAAAACACATTTCAAACTCACCAACCAGACACCACACACTGAACAAAACTAATTTCAGAAACATTTTCTTCATCAGTTCACTTAAATCTTAAAGGGGTCATATGATGCTGCTAAAAAGAACATTATTTTGTGTATTTGGTGTAATGAAATGTGTTTATGCGGTTTAAAGTTAAAAAAACACATTATTTAGTGAGCTGAGGTGGCGGGGTCAAGAATGGCGGTCCCGGCGAAGGAGCGGTGAAAACGGTGAAAGCCATTCCGGCGATCCACAGCACTAAGTTGTTGTATTTCCTCAGCGACCAGCACGGATCAGCTCTAGGCATGACGAAGCGGATATCGTCCTCTTTTGGAAGACCAAACAAAGTAGTTTCGCTTTCACAACGAAGCACAAAGCGTCTTCACGACATGGCTGCAGCGTCAACAATACTACAGAGAGAATAAAAGTTACGCCTTCTTTCTTTGCGTGAACATTTGGGCGGCGTTATGCAAATCTTCCCACATAGTGACCTAGGTATGTGGGGGCGTGTTCGAACGAGCCGTTTTAGGTAGGTGTGGCTGACTCTTAACTTTTATAAAGAATATCTCTTTGGATTTGAGACTTTAGTCTTTGCAAATTTACAGATCTTCTTTATGCACCAAGAGCTTGTAACACTCCAAAGAGAAAGGAAAAAATGAAATCGCATCATATGACCCCTTTAAATATCACTTAAATGTCTGAACAGATGCTGTGTGTGTTTGTGGTCTTTCTTTAACACGTCTGAACCTCTGTCACAGTTTATTCTCACGTGGTCATTTCCTTTAACACAGGAAGTCATGCAAATGAGCAATCGCATTATATTTTTTTAAATGAATTCTGGTGCTGAATGAAAACTAGCAGAAGAGTGAAATGCTAAAGTCATGAATTTTAATATTTGATATTTGTATTTACTGATGTTGTGAGATGATCAGCTGCCAATCTGTGTAGTTTATTAATGATGCAGGAGAATATCATGTTTGACTTCTGACTCTTAATTGACTGTTGGATTCATTTTATTTAACTGTAAATATGTTTTATATGGAACAGAAGTCTGAATGTTTGGTTCATATTAGCAGGAGAGAAAATGAAGAAACGCTTCAGCCACAAACTACTGACACTCACTGACCGCATTCATAATAGACACGCTGATGCAGGAGCTGTTTTTCCACCAACAGATGAAACCACATTAGATGAAGATAAATCAGACCACAGCTGGTTTAACTCGACTCAAATTGAGCTGCTCACAATACATTCAGTGGATCACTGTGTGTATCCCCCCCCCCACACACACACAGTGTTGGTACAAGAATTAAACAGTGAATGTTAATGAGACAGCAGCCTGTAAATCTGATTAATTCAGTTGAACCAAAATAAATTTGAAATTTGGCTGCCTGTGAGATTTGAGAAATGTTTGTTCATAATGAGATCTCTGGCATTTCATTGTAGTCTTTGCTTTTAAAGTCAGTTAAAAAAAAAAAAAACATGCCTCCAATCTGAGACGGTTGAGCTCCCAGTGCTATAACGCTATAATGCTGTTAGTGGCTGTTCTTTAGAAACCCACCAGATGGCGCCATTTATGAGTTAAGATTCAAATCAAACCACTGATTATTAAATTAAAAAGGTGTGTATATTACTGTTCATTTATTTTACCTTCTGTGAATTTGTGTTATCTTCCAAGAGAATGGTGTAGTGGTCTTTACACAATGTAAAAATGGTTTTA